TATGGTGCTCGGTGTTTACGAAAGTAAACATGGATGCTAACGGCTTACGATAGCTTACGATTTTGAAGTTGTTATCCAACCGGAACCAGCACAGTAACAACTTAATTCTCATTATCGTCCGTAATAGTTGTTGTTTTTCTTCCCGCTTGCTCGTATCAAGACGCAGAATGGTGACGTTTGTCGAGTATCGATGACGTTCAGGTAGGATGAGCCATAGACATAATATAAGATATAGTATATACTAATATACTATATCTTATATTATGTCTATGGGATGAGCCGTTCAGACTCGGGTCTTGGAAAAGAACAGATACGTATCATACATCCAAGTAGTCTGTCTGGGTCGCACTCGATGGTCTGATCTGTACATGTCACATTAAGGCAAAAAAAAAAAAAAAAAGAAAAAATCGCAATTGAGGCTGCAGTGTGGATGCAGCCTTACTCTTTATTAATCTCACTTTACCGCCTCTTCTGACGCTTCCTCTTGAATGTTTTTCTTTCACACCCTAAATCTTTCGTGTAATTATATTGCTAAAGAAACCTAAGGACATATGTTGCTTTGGCAGACTGGTTGTGTTTGGGAAGCGGTGTGTGTGTGTTGGAGATCCTAAATGACATGTTTCAGCTGTGTGTTTCATATACAAGATTCAGAGAGTGCGTCTCCCTTCCTTTGAATGCTACCCTGCAGCCACATAAACACTTAGCATATGTTCACCCGAGTGTGTTCAGTCTTAAATTACACCCAGACCGCCACAACATGAGCTGCTGCGGTAGCCCGTGTAAAGTCAGCACTTCTTTGGTGTAGCATCATATGACATGTTTTTAAAGCTTTTTCTTCACTGTTTTACATTTACAACATTTGAAGAAGTTTGTGTCTGTTTGAGGATTTTCCTGTTTTGATGTACATAAAAGCTGGAACATGATAGGATAATATCCTGGAGCAAGACAGATAGCTTATTTGCCTTTCAGATGAGAATACAGTCTGCATCCTGTGATAACAAGTAGGCAAGCTAACACAGAAACACTGAGGAGATTATTTTTTATCTTTCTACACTGCAAAAACACAAAATCTTACCAAGTAAATTTGGTGTAGTTTATTTATTTTTTTACTTTTCAATAAATGCATCAAAACTGAAAGCTCTGGCTTTCAACTCAGTGTATAACGACATCAACCATCCAACGTTCTTGGATGCATTTAGTAAAGGAATCAGATAAAAGGTTAGATAAAAACATAATTTTCTGCTGGATTCAGAGCTACAGCCTCTCTGTATGATAAAGCAGCAACATTTTTTCCTCTGTTCTTGTTTGTCAGGTTTAATGTTTGCATTACAAATAGGGCCGGACGACATGGATGAAAAACTTATCACAATATAAGCCTTTCATGTCAGTCAATATTGATAATTGCCGAGTATAATTGATGGTTTTTTCAGAAAGCTTTTTTTTTTTTTTAAATATCTGAAATATTACCAAACTGGTTTCATGATCTGTCCTGTTTTTGTTTTCACGATGGTTTATGTTTTTAAGCAGTAATGAGGCACAGCGGTGAAACCTTAAACTGCTGCTGTGCAAGTTACTCAACAGGTCGTTGCTAGGTAACCACTAGTTACTCAACAGGTCGTTGCTAGGTAACCACTAGTTACTCAACAGGATGTTGCTAGGTAACCAAAGAATGAGTGAGTTAGTTGATTCTACCAACCTTGCTTAGGTGGCCTTGCACAAACTCAAGGCTCGGGGGCCAAATCCAGCCCACTATACCTTGTTATGTGGCCCTCTGCACTCTAAAGAGTCACATAAATAGAACCGTCAAGATAACAGTGTGCTTAAACATTATTTTATCATTCAGTTCAAAGCAGTTTTTATCCGTTTACTGCCAAATTGCATCAAATAGTTCCTCCAGTTTCTTGTGAATTATTGTGGAACTTCACTCAGTCACCAAATCCCTGCACTTTAGTTTGTTGCAGATTTTTCGCAAAAGTGGTGAAAACATTGGATCTAAGGTTTACTCCCACCTGTAGGTGGCAGTATTTATTACTTCTACAAAACAGCTGTCTCAGTCTCACTTAATGTCAAGTTATAATCCATAATGACACGGTGAGTAATAAAAAGTCGCATTTACCATCATAGATGAGCAAAAATATTTCTAAATTACTACCAGATATTTTTTTTTGTATTGCAAAAAAAAATAAAAAAACACTAAAACTATCATGAAACCATAGAGGGACTGAAAAGATGTTCAGTATTATTTGATTTTAAGAATTTATTTATATTTTAACAGTTTTTATCAGTACATTCTGACACAACCGGCCGTTTAAGAACATTTATGGACTTGATTTGGCCCAAAAGGAAACTGAGTTTGACACCACTGAGCTAAAGCCTTTCTTCTGCCTACATCTCTCAGAATGCTGTGCCAGATTATGGACTTTATTTTGTATTTGAATCAGCAGCTCAGACCTGTAAAGAAACCCGCAGATCTGTGTCGACCTTTAAAAGGAGCATTTCTGAATTGTAGCAGAGGAGATTCTGTAACAGTTTCTGTATTTCAGATTGACGAATCGTCTCCGTTCGCTTCTTCCTAACTTGGACTCTCTTCACGGAGCTCAGATTCTGGCTCCATCTGCAGACGGAGCTTTCCGTCTCTGGACCTCCTCCAGCACAGACAGCGCAGAGCCACATAATGGCTCCCGTTCATCCCCTCCTCAACTCTGCATCTCTCTTTTTAGACTCCTGCATCTCTCCCCCTCCACATACCAACCACTGAAATCAATTAAACAGGCCCACTTGTCCCAGTCCAACTCCCCCTGGTGGCAAAATAAAACAATCTGTCATAGAGAAATGCTTTGATTTGAATCAAAAAGTGTTTAGTCTGTGAGGAATTGTAACTCGGGGTAAACAGTACTAGACCAAATTAAGGGTTAGCTCAGTTAAAGCTGCATTTTGCTGTTTATTCAATGTTTTTTCCGTCTTCTGCAGAAGAATCTTCTGACACGGTGAAGGTGGCTTCGTATATCCTCATCGGAGTCGGATCTCTGACGATGGCCATGGGCTTCTTCGGCTGCATCGGAGCCATCTATGAAATCCGCTGCCTGCTGGGACTGGTGAGGAGAAACACACACAGAGCCTGTTTATCACCGCTGACCGGATCAGCACTAACTAGCACCAAAAGCCACTCAACTAACGCTTTGGAATAAATGTACTTGTAGGAGTATTTTTACTTGAGAATATCATTATGGATTATTGCTTCTCTGACTTGCAGAGGCGGGTAGAGAACCCGAAAATTGTATTCAAGTAAGAGTATCACGACTGCTTCAACATATTTTTACACAAGTAAAAGTTAAAAAGTATTTGGTAAAAAGTCTACTCAAGTAACTGATCAAATTATCAAACTATCAGTCATTTAATATTTAAAAGTTACATCATCAGATAAATCAAATTATAAAGTTAAGTGGAAATTTTGGTATTTTAAGAACAAAAATGACAATTAATATTAGTGACAAAAAAAAGCAAAATCAGGCAAAAGAAAATGTTTGCCAATCAGTTTCTTTTATAAAAAAGTTCCACAGACACACAGACCTGTGTGTGTCTGTCTGGTGAATTTTTGTTTAAAACATGTTTATTTTTCATTCGGTGGCTAGAAAATCCATAAATTTTGCGATACTTCATAATAAAATGACTCAAATAAAAGTAAAAAGTAAAGTAAAAAGTGTAACTGATCAAATTATCAGTAATTTAAATTTTAAAAATTACATAGACAGACAATGATATAAAATTAAGTGGAAATGTTGGTATTTTAAGCACGAAAATGACAATAATTCATAATTCACAACAAAATAAGGAAAAATTTAAATTTTACCAAATCAGTTTCTTTCAGTAAAAATCGTATTTATTGGCAGAGGTTGCTAATTTTGCGCCATCAGCTCTTCTACCAACACCAGCAGGAAAGGTGGGTGAAGAGTCCAGGGACACAAACGACCAGGAATCGAACCGGCGATCTGCCGATTGCAATCCTCATATATCAATATAAAACCCCTCACTGCCTTTTGTATTCATGCCAGGTTTAATTTCCACTAATTTCCACCTGCCTGCTTAATAACATGTGACGGATTCCTGCTGACGGCAAAGCCTCTGATAATGTGTGAGTCTGTCAGGCGGCTGAGAGGAGCTGGAGATAAAACCAGGGCTGTGGGGGGCGGCTTCCACCAGGGTGGGGAAGGGTTGTGACCTCAGCAGCGTTAAACCTGCTGGGGGTTAACTAAAGAACCGACGTGACCCACTTCTCTGAGTGACACAGACCAGCTGGTGGTGGACAAACCCCCTCAACACTACACTGTAAAACATTTACAGGTGGTTTAACCTGAAAATGAAAGTCCACCTGCTGCCTGGAAAATGTAATTTAAGTCACAAGAAAATAGTTTTGGTTTTAACTCGGAAATTAAAGTTCATGAAGTTGATTTAACAACAAGAGACAAGTTGTCTAAACTTTGTTTTTTTAACTTCATTAATCTTTAATTGTGAGTTTTAACTTAATGCTGCAATTTAAACCAAATAATTATTTCACAATACCAAAGAAAAACAAATCTGCCCTCACCAGTTAAAGAGCCACATTTCTCTATTATTTTACTCACAACATCAAGTTAAAATAAATACTTATTTTACTTTAGAATAATTTAAATTCTTGTTTGAACTAAATTTCTGATCTGATGATGAATTTTATTAAACATCCCAATGAATTCAGCTCAGAAACATTTAGTGAGATCAGGACATTATCCTCAAGCTTTGCTGACTGAGAATTGCATTAAAATGAACATTTGCCTTAATAAAACACCAGAGTCAGATCAACGTAACGCACTTCCACCTCAGGAGACAGAAACATGCCGCTAAGCATTCTGGGAAATAGTTCCCACTCCTGTCTTTCTCTTCTTTCAGTTTTTTTAAATGCTAAACTAAACTCAGTTTATTCAACTCTTGGAGGTTTGACTAAATTAATAAAAAGTTAACAACTTACTGCTGCAAGTTTATCTTTCACAAACTCACATTTAGGTTCAAAACCTAAAACTGGATAAATTTATTTGACTTAAGGAGTAAAAGATAGTAGACACAACTAAATGTGGCTCTAATGTTTTACAGTGCAGGCATTCTTAACTGGACGGTTCTGAAATCCCTTCAGTTTATTTTGTAAATCCAACATGGATAAATCTAACAGCTAAAAGAGGAAGAAAAAACTTTTGCTTTTTCATAAACGTGACTTCCTGCCACTTCTTTTTTTTAATTTTTTTTATTAAAATGTCACAGGATTTGTGTGTTATTATTGAAATACCTTCAGTATTTTCTGCTAATATTATTTCCTGTTTATTTCCACAGTACTTCACCTGCCTTCTGCTCATCCTCATCGCTCAGGTCACTGCTGCTGTTCTCATTTACGTACAGAGAGATCCGGTGAGACACGCTTCACTTTCTTCTCTTCCTCCTTAACGTTTCGATTCCTAAAAAAATACAATTTCAGTGAATTATTGTGCCTACAGCTACCCTGAAACCTCAGTTTCTCATGCACCACATTTCCTATTGAGGGCAAAACGTTTGTGTTTCCCCTCACAGCTGGAACCGGCTGCAAAAAACACTGAATCTTACCAAGTATTTTTGTTCTAATTTCTGCTGCAAATATCTTAGTTTACTTGAAATAAGACTAAACTAACTTACAAGTAAATTTTATCAGATATCTGAGCTTGTTTTAAGTCAATAATTCCTAAATAATGGAAAAATATTAGTTCCACTTGCAGTGGAATGTTACGATCAACTGGCACTTTGCCGTTACCTAGCAACCACAGCCGAGCCAAGGACGTCACCTAGCAACCACAGCCGAGCCAAGGACGTAACCTAGCAACCCCAGCCAAGCCAAGGACGTCACCTAGCAACCACAGCCGAGCCAAGGACGTCACCTAGCAACCAAATTCTAATTCCACTAGCAGATTATTTCACTTATAACAAAACATTTTTCCCATGTTCTTTTCTTAATCAATTTTAAGAAATTATTTACCTAAAACAATCTCATGTTTCTTGCTCAAAAGTTACTTGTAAGTTAGTTTTGTCTTATTTCAAGTCAACTAAGACATTTACATTAGAAACTAGAACAAAAATACTTGGTAGTTTAGTGTTTTTGCAGTGAACGTAGGTGTCACATTAAAACCCTTAGGGAACCTGCTGCATCCTGTGATGAAACACGGCGCAGATGATCGAACGGAAACCCACAGGAAGTCGGTCTGTAACTGAAATGACTTCAAATCCGGGTAGAAGAAGAAAACGCAGGAAGTGGAGAAGGGATTGTTTTCATTGTCCTGTCGGTTCCCCCTGCAGGACGTCTTTATGTTTGTTATGTGAACAACGACAAATGTTACCCTAGAAGTGATTACTTTAGGGTCAATAAACACCTCTGCTGAATTATGAATAAAAAATAAACTGTAGCACTATTTAGATTTAGATTAACAGCACTCAAAATGATCAGACATTTCAGTGAATTTACTTTAAAATTACTTTAGTAATTAGAACGCAGAGTTAAATAAATTCATGTATTCTATATTTTTTTCTGAATTGGACTCGTTTCTCTTTTAAAGTGCCGTAGGACTAACTAAAGTCATTTTCAATAGAAAATAGATCTGGAAATGTTTGGCAGATTAAAAGTACTTTTAATTAAAAGTATCAGACATACTTTTAATTATCCCACATTTTTGTCTTTAAAAATAGGTTTTATTTAAACACTGTGTTTATATTCGTTAGCAGAAAATGATCATGATGAAGAGAAATAAAGGTGCATTTTATCAGTCCTTGTCTTATTAATCCATATAATGCAATGGAGCTTCTGGAATAAACAAACTTTTGAATATTATTCTAATTTATTGAATAAGTTTGTATTATTGAATATAGTGGTAAATACATTTATTTTTAGAGACAATTTGTCAAATTCTGTTGGGGAAAACAACAAAAACTCAAAATGATATTTACTCAAATTTAAGAGTAAATCTTTTAGAAACTTCTTAAGACAGTAAACTCTAAAAATGAAGGTAAAATAATTCAAAAATATTCTAATAAATGTTCTTTGTACATATCCTTAAGCAAAACTATAATAATAATAATAATAATAATAATTTTGGTGAATCCAGATGTTGTGGCATTTCTCAACTGCAGAAGTTAGATAAACCAGTGTAATCTTATCATTATAAATATCTCAATTATAATAATAATTATTATTATTTTTATCAATACACAATGACTACATTGTGGCTTTAAAACTGGGGCAGTTTATTTAAGGTAATGTAAATTTATTTATATAGCACATTTCAGTGCTTTACATGAATTAGAAGGAAATACAATAAAACAACAAACCAAAGGAAAGAGCAAAAGAAAAGAGAAAACAAAAGAGCATAAAACTACATGTTAGTTCCCCATAAACAGTCCGTAACTTATAAACTAGCAGGAGTTTCTCTGGATTCTTGTTCTGATGAAACTAAACGTTGCTTCTCCATGTTTGATTCTATACAGCAGAGATAAAACAAGAGGAAAAAAAAATCAGAACTGATCCTATCAGATTACACAGCAAATTATTTCAGGATCCATTCTTCAGTGTTTGTTTCAGGGGGACCGTTTTGTCTGAACACATCAGAGTCTTGGCCATGTTTTATTCTCTGAACAGCAGGATAGGTGGATGCGCTGTCAGCTCTGTGTGTGTGTGTGTGTGTGTGTGTGTGTGTGTGTGTGTTGGTCACATGTGGGTCTGCAGCCTCCGACACACTCCCTGTGTTTAGGGCTCGCCACAGGGCAGGGCGCTGCTCCTTCCCAGAAAAGGGCGCGGCTCTCGCCTGTCATGAAGCTGCGTCGCCGCTGCCGCTCTCTGCGGTCTCACACACATAAACACAGAGCCGGCCAGAGTTCTGCAAAGCTTCAACATGGAGCTTCACATGTGTGAACTGCTGAGAAACATGAGACATGAATGCTGATGATTCGCTGTGGGAAGGGATTTGCTGACATGCAGGGCCTCGTTTTTGAATAATTAACACTTTAGTCTGTAAAAGTGGGGTAGAAAAATGCAGAGTTGGTAATAACTAGTTACATTTACTCATTTATATTTACTTTTAGGAGTATTTTTGCTACGCTGTACTTTCTTTTGCTTGAGTAATGTTATTATGAAGTATCTCTGCTCTTACCTGAGTAAAATTTCTGGATTTTCTACCCACTGAATGAAAAGGAACAATTGCAGTTTTCTGGCCGATTACCGATCGATGAGAAAACCTGACCTGCCGATTCGGATCTTGGCCGATACCGTTTTCTTTGTCTAAAATGTAGTAAGAAAGTTGATGAGTAGCCAACAGTGAGACGACCAATAAATAGGCTGACTGATAAATCAGTGCATCCATAATTTTAACCAAAAATTCACCAGACAGACACCTGCAGTCTCTGTTAAAGTTTTTACATTTTTTATTGAAAGAAACTGATTTGGAAACATTTTGTTGGTCAACAGGTTTTATCTCATCTCAATGCTGACTGTTTTCTGTCACTGTTTACTGTTTTTCTCCAGCTGAAACATGAGATGTCCGTCATCATTAGAGGGTTGATAGTGAACTACACGGGTCAGAACAAAACCACGGAGCACGCCTGGGACTTCGTTCAGAGGACGGTGAGTCAGTGAGTCCAACCGGATCAAAATACAGAAAACACACTTCATTTGGTGGAAAAGGAACCATCCAGGTGCGTCTGCATACAGGACGAAAAAGCAACAAAAATAATGATTCAGTAAATGCAAATGTTAATTTATGTACTGATAACACAGTTATCTATGGCTCAGCTGCATCTCTTAATGTTATAGAAGCAAATTTTAGTGTTTAAAACCTGTTTTAATCTCAGAGAAAACAAAACTTATGTTATCTACTTCCCAGGTATCAGATTGAATTTGTCTCCCACACTGTAAAACATTAGAGCCACATTTAGTTGCGTCTACTATCTTTTACTCTTTAAGTCAAATAAATTGATCCAGTTTTAGGTTTTGAACCTAAATGTGAGTTTGTGAAAGATAAACTTACAGCAGTAAGTTGTTAACTTTTTATTAATTTAGTCAAACCTCCAAGAGTTGAATAAACTGAGTTTTTAGGTTTGCACTTAAAAAAAGAGGAAAAAGTGGGAACTATTTCCCAGAATGCTTAGCGGCATGTTTCTGTCTCCTGAGGTGGAAGTGCGTTACGTTGATCTGACTCTGGTGTTTTATTAAGGCAAATGTTCATTTTAATGCGATTCTCAATCAGCAAAGCTTGAGGATAATGTCCTGATCTCACTAAATGTTTCTGAGCTGAATTCATTGGGATGTTTAATAAAATTCATCATCAGATCAGAAATTTTGTTCAAACAAGAATTTAAATTAATCTAAAGTAAAATCAGTATTTATTTTAACTTGATGTTGTGAGTAAAATAATGGAGATTGTACAAATTGCAGCATTAAGTTAAAACTCACAATTCAAGATCAATTAAGTTTAAAACAATGTTTAGACAACGTGTCTCTTGTTAAATCAACTTCATGAACTTTAATTTCTGAGTTAAAACCAAAACTATTTTCTTGTCGACTTAAATTGCATTTTCAAGGCAGCAGGTGGACTTTCATTTTCAGGTTAAACCAAATGTAAATGTTTTACAGTGTATAATTGCCTCATCAATGAGGAGTTTAGTCACTTTAACAGTTTAAAAAGTTTCTCTCTCTGATGACTCCTTTTGCTCCATCTCCTCATTGCTCCCCCTTTCTTCCGTGTCTCCAGATGAAGTGCTGTGGCTGGACTGGACCAGGTAACTGGTCTGAGAACATTTTGATCAAGAACGGCACACAGAAGCTGTACTCCTGCTCCTGTCGTAACGACACCATGCCGGGAACCGACATGAAGGAGTTTGGCCTGTGTGAGCACCTGTCAGAACAGCCGCCTGTCTTTGAAATGGTACGTGTTTTACCTCATCGCATGGCGTTTCAGCAGAACGTAATCGGTGCTGGAGTCTCTGAGACGAGCTGATTGAGCTCCAGGAAGCCTCTGCTGTTCGCTGTTTGGGCTGCCTGCTTCAGGAAGGTCACAGGCTGCTTCTCCTGTTTTCCTTTCCCCCCCACAGAGCCGACCCAAAGCCTCTGAGCACGTCCGTCTGCCATCGCTCAGCCCCCTCCTCCTCTCACACTTCTGCTTTTCTCTCTCAGGGCTGTATAACCAGCGTGGAGAAATGGCTGCTGGATAACTGTGGGATTATCCTGGGGATCTGTATCGGGGTGGCTGTTGTGGAGGTAGGATGTTCATTTCTAACATGTTCTGACCCGGTGAGCGTTCCCACGTCCAAACGAACGTCACCCTATTCAACACAAAGAAATGGAAGCATTGCTTTCTGTTTTGGTTAAATGACACCCCTTTTATCGCCATGTAAAACATGGTGGTGGCAGAATCATGCTGTGGGGATACTTTTCTTTAGGAGGAACAGGGAAGCTGGTGAATGCAATGTAAAAAATGACATCTCTAAGTTACGGTAGAAATACGGATTTTAATGTATTTATACAGTAAAATTCTGGCAAACACAGAATTTTATCGTATAAAGTCGATATAAATGCAGATTTTACTGTATAAATATACGGATTTTACCATATTTATACAGTAAAATTTTGGCAAACAGAGAATTTTACCCAGTAAATAATAACAGTAAAATCTGTATTAATATGGATTTTACCAAATTTATATGGATTTTGACTTATTATTACGACAAATGTGGTAAAATATGTATTTAAGTATTCTACCGTGTTTATACAGATTTTACCATATTAGTAAAATTCTGGCAAACAGAATTTTACCGTATAAAAACTGTGGTTTTTACCGTAATTAGACATTTTTTACAGTGTGTTTAGGACGATGGCAGGTTATTGACACCGTACATCCTGCTAGAGCTGCGGTGAAACTGTTCAGATCAAAACCAATTCATGTGTTAGAATGGTCTAGTCAAAGTCCATTTAAATTTCTTTGGCAGGACAGATGCTCCCCATCCAACCTCACCGAGGTGGAGCACATGTCAGATTATTCTCATAGTTCCTGGTTTCACAGTGGATATTATTTACAGAAAACATGAAAAAAATGTGAATCATTAGTATAAAAACATGTAAAATGAAGTTTCTTCAGTTCTGAGGAAATATTCCCAGTTTTCTGTGACTTTTCAGTGAATTTTCGATTGTTTTGTTGGTGAGTTTAATTTCTGATGACTCCATTTGCTGCAGCTCCTGGGGATGATCCTCTCCATGTGTCTGTGCAAGAGCGTCGTCCAGGAGGATTACACCAAAGTACCGAAGTACTGAGCCGAGCATGAAGCAGCCCGTTCGACACAGATGGACCGACTCCCCTCCGCCTCTCCTCCACACACACACACACATAAAGAAATTAAAACAGCTGTCTTCGGTTCTCGTGTCTCGACAGCTGTGCAGATTTCTCACACACTCAGCCAACATGTCCCACTCAGTAACTCACACTCGGCTCTCAGTCATCCTCGACACACACGACGGACTCATTTGATGGCATTTTTTTTAAGGCGAAGAATTTGTTGTTTATGACGGAGTATTGGGGCCATATTAAGAAAAAATTCAGGGTATTATCAGCCTGGCGGGCCGCCAGGCTTATATTGTTTTTTTTTCTTTTTTGTAACCATTCGCCAACTGCAGCCGTCTTTGTTGCGTTGAGTATTTCACTGGCAGAGCAGAAACGGTCCTGAAAGATGTTTTTATAGTTCATAAAGTCGGGAGCGCACCAATCACACCGCTGCCGTCTCGCGCGCCGGTGCGGCTGGATCTCTAAAGTTTCGGATCGGATCGGATCGGATCTAAAGCCTCCTTTCACTTAAGCTGGACACAGGCTGACCTGTATGGACCTTTACATGAATCCCTTGAGGACTCGTGTTTCTTTGGAGAATCTACGTCACGGTATGAGTCAAATTTAAAAGCCGCTGAGTTTCCTCTGCTTGCAAAGCTCGATGAGAACCGCTGATGGAGGCGCATGTTGAGCGAGCGGTGAGAAGGATTTATCTTTGTGAACAGAGAATTACATCTCAACACGCTGCCCGGCGAATGGCTCTGTGTCTGATTCAGTTAATGTAGCCGTTTCTTGGTTAGATGGCACGTTGGTGGTTGAGCGTTTTTTTATTTTGGATTTGATTTAGGGGCCCCTATTGCTGCCAAGAACATCAGCATCACTAACAGTATTTCACCTTGGATTTAGCAAATTATGGGAGAAGAAGGTAGTTTAATTGGCCAACATAAAAAGCAATTAGTTATAATTGTAGTTTAGTAATTTGTATTTGTGAACAAACAGCTCAATCCCACAGATTAAACTCAGAGGGTCAGATTGTTGCTGTGGATTTATGGAGTTCTGAAGTTTTAATTTGGATTAAACAGAAGTGCAAATAACTGATATTTATTTTAATTGTATTTTTTCCATTTGTTGTTTGTAAGAGTCTTTAGTTGTGGGTTTAGGTATCGTCTCCAATGTCTTCCAGTAACATAACACAGTAATATTTTTATATGTCCGGTCAGCATCTTTTAATACAGAAACACGGTGGACCGCCTCGGCGCCTGACCACTGAGCTTAGCCAGGTTTTCTGGGGGAAACCCTATAAATTAAAACAAAAATGATGAGAAAAAAGTCATTTTTCTAGAATAAAACAGTAGTAATACGAGATTAAAGTCCAAATATTAGAAGAATAAAATCGCAAAATTGCTAGAATAAAGATGGAATATTTCAACTTTATCATGTTAACGTTATGAATATAAATTTTGTAATTTTATTGTTTTTATTTTTTAATTGCAACCCCAATACTCCGTCATAATAATTTGCTTCTGTGCAAATGTCCATGTAGATTCTAGTTGTTTCTCAGCCGACCGCGGCGTCAGAGCGAGCACTTTAGTGAGATTTGGCGATCTGAGAGCAGATCAGATTTAGGCAGGCAGATGGGAGGGAAACCTGTGTGTGTGTGTGTGTGTGTGTGTGCGTGTGGGTGTGCGGGTGTGTGTGCGCGCGTGTGTGTGTGTGTGTGTGTGTGTGTGCGTGCGTGCGCGCTCGCGCCCGTTTTAAGGATTACCGCCACCCTGTAACCTTGCACCTGGTATTTCTGGTGCTGAGTCAGCGTTCTGCTCGGTGCTGCAGTGGTGGAGATTTATTTTGGTTGAAAATCAGCTCAGACTCGGTAACCCTGGCATCCGCTGACCCCTGCTGACCTCTGCTGACCCTGCCTCCACTTCCTCCTACTCCCTAGCAGACACAACTAAATGTGGCTCAAATGTCAGATAAATTTATCCAGTTTTAGATTTTGAACCTAAATGTGAGTTTGTGAAAGATAAACTTACAGCAGTAAGTTGTGTTAACTTCTTATTAATTTAGTCAAACCTCCAAGAGTTGAATAAACTGAGTTTTTAGGTTTGCACTTAAAAAACTGAAAGAAGAAAAAGTGGGAACTATTTCCCAGAATGCTTAGCGGCATGTTTCTGTCTCCTGAGATGGAAGTGCGTTACGTTGAGCTGACTCTGGTGTTTTATTAAGGCAAATGTTCATTTTAATGCGATTCTCAATCAGCAAAGCTTGAGGATAATGTCCTGATCTCACTAAATGTTTCTGAGCTGAATTTATTGGGATGTTTAATAAAATTCATCATCAGATCAGAAATTTAGTTCAAACAAGAATTTAAATTATTCTAAAGTAAAATAAGTATTTATTTTAACTTGATGTTGTGAGTAAATAGTAAAGAAATGTGTCTCTTTAACCAGGTGAGGGCAGTTTTTTAGTTAAAACTCACAATTCAAGATGAATGAAGTTAAAAAACAATGTTTAGAAAACTTGTCTCTAGTTGAGCTTTAATTTCTGAGTTAAAACCAAAACAATTTTCTTGTCGACTTAAACTGCATTTTCAAGGCAGCAGGTGGACTTTGATTTTCAAATTAAACCACCTGTAAATGTTTTACAGTGTAGTGTCGTCCATCATCCTCTGAATCTTCCTGTCAGCTGTGTGTGTGTGACTTTCTGTTTTATATCTTTTATATTTTCATGTCATCTTGTAAATATGTTCACTAAGGGATAAAGGCACATTGGTGCTTGGTCAGCATTTCATATGGGAAAGTTTTTCACCCACATGCTCTTGTTTTAAGAGTCCTACTGTTTTTGTTTCCTCTCTATTGTTCAGGATGTGGCTCCCTTTGCGCCTCGTCAGCATTTATTCTGTCTGAATCGGAGAAATTGGAATCCCTGAAGTTAATCTGTCTTCGCTCATAAACACATACTGTTATTTCTTTAACGTTGAATCTAATGGAAGTATTTTTTATGCTCTTTTTTTTATTTTAAATAAGACAGCCGATATCCGATCCCCTACACTATTGTTCACATAACAGGCGCATAACAATGAATTATTTCATAAAGTTAATTTATTTAAATCTCATGAATTCATTTCACACAAAGTGATTTCAAACAGCTCAGAAAAGTATTTGGTGGTTCCACAAACCAAATACTTTTGGTTTTGCTTGAGAAGCACTTCTTCCTTCCACTTAACCTTCCACTAAAATTCTTTAACTTTTATGGGAGAACTTTTGTTTTGGATATCACAACATTTCTGTAATAAAAATAATTTTTTTATTTGTTTTAATGTAATATTGCAATATTCTGAGAAACTGAATTTCAGGTTTCCCTAAAAAATGAACAGAAATAACTGTTTGAAATATATAATTCTGTGTGAAATAAATCTAAATAAACCTTTAAAAATTTGATTCAACTTTACTTAGATCCATCCTGTAATATTGGGCAAAAACAACAACCTTAAAATGAAGGTGATTTCAAGTTTATTAGAGCATCACTGTCTGAAAAACGTTGCTTTGATTCATCCATTTAATTTAAATGTATTTTTTTTTTTTTTTAGGGCAGGCTGCATTTTTATGTTGTTTTTTTTATTAAGCTCATCAACATGAAAAGGTCATTTTCATTTTTTTAGCCCTGCAAACCTCCACATTAATTTAGCTTGATGGAAAATGAAGGTTTTTTGTATAAAATGTTTTGTGTAAGGATTTCATTTGGTAGAGGGAAAAGATGTGGATTTGAAAGCCATTAGAACGTTTTTATGTTTTTTTATTATAATGAATAAACTTAAACTATTATGAATTATGAATCTGTCTCTTTCTTTTATTTTGGCGCCTTAAAAGGCAATAATCTTATTAAACAGCTCTTTTTTTATTTAATTGAGAAAACAAATAAAAAAACAACAAACAAAGCACTGAATCTGAATTGGATCTCAGTGAGGGTTTTACCTTTAAAGGAAATAAAACATATAGCTGCACAAGAAAATAAAGAGCTCATTGCACTGAACCCCATTGAAAAGCTCCTGGTTATTCCACCAAATATAGATTCCTGAACTCTTCCTGAGTTAAAACTTTAGTATTGTTGTTTCTAATTGAATATTAACTTGTTTTCTTTGCATTATTTGAGGTCTGAAAGCTCTGCATCTTCATCTTTTTCGTTATTTTGACCATTTCTCATTTTCTGCTAATAAATAAATGTTTTCTTGTAATTTCAGAGACATGTCAGCAGTTCATAGAATAAAAGAACGATGTTCATTTTACTCAAACATTTATCTGTAAAAGGTAAAATCAGAGAAACTGGTCATTTTAAGTGATCTCTATATTTTTTCCTGAGCTGTATAAATACTTTGGTTTATTGCCAGTTTTCTATCTGCATTTGTTTTCTTTTGCGGGTTTTACACCTAAACAGCCAGAAGATGGCAGTATGCACCTATTACTGTTTGCGCCATGGCTCTTTAAAGTGCAAGAGGAAAAACTATGTTTCGTAATCCTGTGTATAAAATCGGTGATTTTACAACATTTCAGCATCTGAGCTGATCTGTTTCTCCTCTTGTTGTCTCAGTGATGCTTTCGAACTACTCCTGTGGCTCAACTGAACAAAAAGCTCCTCGTATTATGAGATTGTTCCTCTGCAGTGCAGAAAAGATCTCCAGATATCGTGAGTGCCTGACTGTTTTTACAGGAAACAGGGAATCGCATGGTGTCATGCCAGAAGCAAATTCCTCTGCGCAGACTGCTGCTCTTAAACCAAACAACAAACTCCCACCGAACCTCACGCTGATCCGCTGCTGTGTTGCTGGAACATGTTCAGTTACGGCCCTGTTATTTGCTTCTCCTGGCAAATTTAGTCACACTGTCATAACTTTTAGTTGCATGTTTTATGAAGCACTTTTTAACACATATTTTAATATAAAACCAAACAATTGTATTTAGTAGCAGGAACTGGCTGTGGCAACAGAGCTTAGAGATGTCAGCTTCTGATTAAGATCACAAGTCTGATCTTGTGAATAAGAAAGGATACAGACGGATTCAAATCAGTTAGCATGAGCGACGGGAAAAACAAGGAAAGAGGTGGAATTAGATTATCGCTTTAATTTAAAAAGAAAAACTCTTTTGGCAGTATGATAATGTCCTGATCCAGTCCCAAGTATCAGACCAGGGTTCCAGTAAAGTCTCAGTTTTACTTATGTGTTGTTTTATGTCAGCTGCAGATATCTGTACTTTATACACCAGTTAATTCTTTTTGATGTTCACTACCTTCATAATTTATGAAGCACATATGTTGTTGGCTTTAACCCAACAACCTATGTGTTTTTAATCATTTACGACACTCATAGCAGTGGAGAGAATGTACTGGCTGCTTAGCCCCTATGCTAAAACTTAACTGATTACATTTTATGAAATTCAGAGAAAAATGGTAAATTTCCGAGACAGGAACACAAATGTTCCCGACGGTTTGTTCCTTCAAGATCAACTGGAAATGTACTGAAATACGACACAAGCCGTGTTATCAATGAGTAATATCAAAAAAGGAAGAAAACTTTGCAACACTTTGGTTCTATTTCAGTCAGTTATATCTTCTTTTTTTTTAAATCAAGTCCTGCTGAAAGTTGCTAAGTTGTGTCAAAATATTCGTCAATAACATCCCAGTGTGAAGTTCTTGGTTAATAAGGAGATCATTACAATACTAATTTGAACCATTTAATGTGGACGACATATGGTGTTATTTTATGCTCGTCAATTAATTTTAACCATAACAGTAGTTCGTAAGGATGTCCCAATCCGGTAGGTGACCGTACGCACCTCAAAGTTGTTTACAATCCGCCATAATAGAAAAGAAGGCGGAGCACCAATCTGATCACGTGATCGGAAATCGGGCCAGTCACGTGATTTCAGACTCGATCGGAATCTGGGGTTACATCCCGATCAGGGCTCGGGTATGTAGTTTTATTCTAAAACCAGATAGTAATTTAAAAAAAAAAAGGTATATACCGTTATGTGGCGGTACAGAGTCAGACTGCACTCTGTACCGCCATATGCGCGGCAATTTGCAGCAGTGACTGCCGTAAAACGGAGCAGAACACGGCATTAGCTGGAAGCGGGAGCCATAGACATAATATAATTATATTATGTCTATGGCGGGAGCATTCTTGGCAACGTTGGCTTTATTTAGCGACTTTTCAGAGCCTCCTAATAGCTTCTTTAAAAACAAATCCGACAAGCGACATCCCTGGAAATGGTAAGTCTGTCCCTTTTGCAGGAGATTCACTTTTTATTTTTATTTTGACCAGTAAATTAAACATTACACGAATCAAAAGAGTTGAAAAACATAAAAATAAACTCATTAGTTAATTCAGCTCAGGTTTCCAGGTGTTTCTAGCGCCAAGCGCATTGAAAAGATTCTCTTTTCTTGCAGTAAATGGAAGGGTTTCATGTTGCTTTACCAAAAACAGCCACTTAGTATCAACAACTGTCTTCAGAAATGACTCGGAGCAGTAATGGGCCGGTACTTCCCCATCAAACATGTCTGCTGTTAATTAGGTGCTGCTTCCAGCATCTTAATGAATTTTATTCACTTTGATGTTTTGGATTAATTACTAAATTGTTTTTGATGTTATCTTGATTAAAAAAACAACAACTAGGAATCCAAAGAATTAATTCTAATATTTGAAATTTTTTATAAGTTATAGGAGCTGGTTTTTCTTCACATCAGATTGATGTGAAAAACCAAATCAAAACGAATGGAAAAAAAAATGCGTTAATCCAAAGAGTAAGTGCAAATCTAACAGATTCATAAAGCAGCTGTTTACAGGTAGTGTGATGTTTTTCTCTGTACTGTAGCAGGATATTTTTCTGCTGCTGGTGTCGACTGACCTGACAGTTGACAAACTGAAATAAATTGCTGAGGTCAAACAACATGAGGAAGGATGCTCCGTCTGTTGATCGGCCAGTTCAAGGCAGGGGAAGTGAGTTTTGTAATGGTCCCACTGAGACCAAATACAATAACGGGTGAGTGATGAAGATGTTGAGTTGATGTTTTTTTTTTTTTTTACAGATGTTTGCCTGCGAACATTTAATCAGAACAGATTTTTTGCTTAAGGAATGCAAAATATTTGTGGCAAATTTATTAATAAAACTTCAGATTAAACTGTTAGAATAAGAATAAATAGGTGTCTCTGCATTTAACGAGTCCTCCTTAAAGTTAAATAACATTAAACTCTTTTACACATTAATTTGACAGAATGCAGATAAAATCTGCTTTAATATGATTGATAAAAACTGTTTTCTTGAAGGTTTATGTCTCTCCAGATTCTAGAGGGCCGCATAAAACGTTACGGCGGGCCAAATTTGGCCCCTGAGCCTTGAGTTTGACACATTTTAGAGGCTTCCGAAGACTGGGTGAAGTTTCCCCGTTAAGCAAAACAACCCCAAATATAAAACTAGAGCTGCAATGAAATGGTTTCAATCAAAGCTGTTGATATTCATATGTTCGAATAGCCTAGTCAAAGCCCAAACATTGATAATCAGTGACAAAGGTTGAAAACAGATTGTCCCCGTCAATATGTGACTGAACATGAGTTATTCTGCAAAATTGGTAGATACAAACCCCAAAACACCTGGAAAAAAGCACTTTTAATCAACTTTTAATTTTTTTTAGAACCTTTTAGATTTAGACTTCCAGACAAAAAAAAAAAAAACAGAAAACCGCAATATATTTTCCTTCCACTTTTTAATTGTGGAAGGAATTTACTGCTCAGTAAAGAAATGATCTGCTTTTTACTGCTAATTAAAATGTGTTCTCTGGGGGTGCACTGATTTATTGGCACCGGTTTTCTTCATTTTGGGAGATCGGTGATCGGCTGATACTGACGTGAAGCTGATCTCATCTACCTCAGCAAAGGTCTAAAAATCATCCACTGTCCTCTAAGCAGCACACAGCTACCAACACTCACCCGGATTAGCATCACGGTCAGAAAGCTAAATGAATAATCCAATAATAATAATAATCCAAGTCTTCGAGCTGGTCGTGTAAGACGCTGGTTCTGCTCTCGCTCTGACCGCCGCTACGCCCTGCTGGTAGTGATATTTCACAGACAAAGCGCCGCTCAACTTCCAGCAGACAGTGAGCTCTCACAGCAAACAGCTGCTTAAGGCTGCAGCAGGTAACTTAAACAAAAACAATTTTTATATATGTATTAAAATATGTCTATTATGTCTAAATTAGGTGAATTTATTGCCAGATAATTTTTCCATTTTGTCAGAAAACATGGTATCATTTATACCTAAAGAGAAAAATTAATAGCCATTCCAGAGATTGGCCTCATGGATGATCGGAATCAGATGGGAGCATCCCTAATATTTAGCAACATTTCTGACAAAAAATGTAGTACTGGCCAAAATCAGAGTCAGCAGGTCAGGCTTTTTAAATCATTGGCGATCGACCAGAAAACTGCAGTCGGTGTCCTCATAATATTTTCTCCTAATATTTTCTGCTTCTGCGATGGCAATCTGATGATGGTGGCGGTCTCGCTGCAGCTGCAGCAGCCCCCCCCAGCATCCGGTCCCCGGCTGCATGTGTTCAGTCAGCACCCGCAGCTTCCACCTGCAGGCTGACCTCCCTCTGGTTGGTCCTTTCCTGTTCACAACCTTTCCTATCCCTCATACACAAACAAAGAGAGTGCACTCAGTCTGCTCCACGTATCAGTCTGTCTGACAGATATGTATAATAACATAACCGTCTGGCTCTATCCGGAGTCTGGTGCAGATTAGCCCTGAAGCCCGAGGAGCTCTAATCAGAAATGAGCAGTGTGAGTCACAGCGGCCCGGTGTGTGCCATGGAAAGAGGATCAGTCCAGTTCCATTAGCAGTTTAAATTGTTTCGGAGATAGGCGGAGAGCCGGCAAGTGGCTTCAGGTCAGTGGGTGTCCTTCGCCTCATTTCCTGCCCACTGGCTTGGAGGATCCAGGAGGATGATGGACAGATCCTCCTTCCTTTCTTCCTTTCCTCCCGTCCCCAGCTCTTTATATCTCCGCGCTTCCGCTTGTGGGTAAACCCGGCTCGATAAGGGCAAGCTCTCGTTTTCACGTGGCCTCTTTGGCCTCTGCAGAAGAAAGGCTGCTGAAATCACTCTGGCGCTGCTCCACTACCTCGCCACACACCAGGGAGCATCAGCAGAGTCTGTGAAAACTCATGGTTTCCACCGAAGTCCAGTGAGACGGAGGCGGGAGGAAGAGGAGGAGGGATGGGTATGAAAGAAACGCCATGAAGTGTCGAGTGATGAAGAAAGAAAAGAAAATATCGCCTGATAGTGCAGCCATCTGCCTTATGCACACACTGCAAAAACACGAAACCTTAATAGTACTTATGGTCTAGTATATCCTAGTACACTTCAAATAAGACAAAACTAACTTACAAGTAACTTTTTAGCAAGATATAGAGGCTTGTTTTACGTAAATAATTCCTTAATATTAATGAAAAATACTAGTTTTATTGGCAAATTATTAAATTTTATAACAAGACATTGTCCCCATGTTGTAAGCTACTTCCGCATGGCGGCGGAGCCGACGTCATGTCAGTTGCCCCACTTCTTAAATCACACGATTTCTGTTAATTAACCATATTTGTTTTGGAAAGATAAGGTAATTTCCTCTCGTCGCACCAACACCAACCAAGAAATGACTTAAATAGAACTTAATTTCCAACGCTAAGTGGGCTAGAAGATCTCCAAAAGAAACATCATGACCCGATCTAAAGAAATTTAGGAACAGATGAAAAACAAAGTGACTGATTTCCAGTCTGGAAACGTTTCTGAAGCCATTTCACCGGATTCAGGGCTGCAGTGAACCACAGTGAGAGCCCTAAATTCAAAGTGAGGAAAAGTTGGAACGGGGAACCTTTCCAGGACGAGTCGGCCCACAGAAATCAGGCAGACCTCGTTTGTTTGAGTTAAGGTTCATGATTTAAACAGAAGAAAAAGACTGGTGAATGTCATGAACATGTTTTCAAGGTGAGAAAATGGAGCCTAAAAGAAATCAAAAGACTTTCTCACATTTCCAGAAAAAAAATAAACTGATGATTTTTGGAAGGTGTTGAATATGACATAAATCTAACATTTCAGAAAAGAACATTTCAACACTGTCTGGGCGGCTTTGCTGCATTCGGACCTTGATGCTGTAACTGATGGAACGATCAAGAACGTCCTGCAGGGCAATATGATTAGTTTGTGACTTTAGTGTCCAGCAGATTTGACTCATGAAGCAGAACAATGATCCAAAACACATCCTGAAGTTCGCCCTTTGGATGCCAGAAAGAAAAACGTTGGGTTAGGTTTTAATCCAGCCCTTCAATCTCACTAAATGAGACCATCGTTTCCATTTAGTTACCTTTTCAGATCGTGGTTTGGGTAGGCATCGTCCCTTAACATAGGGGAGTCAAACTCATCTTCATTCTGAGCCAAATCAAACATCTGAATGTTCTTAAAGGGCCAGTTTGCCACAATGTATTCATAAAATTAAATTGCTAAAATATAAAATGGCTGTTTCGGCATTCAATAACTGTTTCTTAAAATAAAATACTATTCAACTTCTTTTCACATGGATCAGTCCATCCAGGATTTAGATATTTTTTAGTTTTATTTGCAATCAAAATCACAGATTTTGTGGTTGTAATTTATAAATACTTGTAAGGATTTTTTTAATGATATTGGAGCTAAAGTATGATGTTAAATGTGACTTTTTATGAATCGCTGTAATGGTTACATGACATGAAGTAAGACTGAGGCAGCAGTCACTTAAAGTTTTTGGCCAATTTTGAGAAGAAAATTCAGTAAAATCAGGAAAAAATGTGGGAATTTGTTGATTCTGTGTGAATTTTGCAGATCTTATTGATGTAATTTGGATTCTTAAGGGCCACTTAAAAAGCTGCGGCGGGCCAGATTTGGCCCCCGGACCTTGAGTTTGACTCATGTGCCTTAACACTTGAAATTATCAGCATTGTGAATTTATTAAATTATTGGATGATTTTAAAAGGTGTGAAGGTGGGCAAATACTTTTTATTTAAAGCAGTGAGTGTATAAAACGGAGCATAAAGCTGGCCCAGCCTTCCCTTCTCACGCTGAAGCCGTATTTTTAGTAAGACAAACTCCCCTTAAATTATTTTGTGATTTCAGTGGATAAAATATGTGATTTTTGTTTCATAAATTATGCATGAAATCAACAATAACGTGTATTTAAGCAGTTTCTCTCCCTGCCATCTGCAATCTGTTTGCCAGCACACTGATTTTTATTTGTTTATGTGCTACATTTTGTTTTTGCACACTGTGCTTACTGTATAAATTAGGAGTCTGGAAGTCAGAGGGGATTCTGGCAAAAACATAATCCACTATGGGAAAAGCTTACTGTTAATGGAACTATAACTAGAAAGCAAATATTATTTTTGTCAATATTACACTTAACACTTAATGAGAATAAAGTCATAATGTTATGACTTTATTTTTTTATAATATGATTTTATTCTGGTAATATTACAACTTTATTCTTGAAATATTGACTTAATTCTTGAATTCTTATGACTTTCTGATTTTTTTAAATTATTGCATTACTTTTTTCCCCACATTGTTTCCATTTTTATCTCTGTTTTGCAAAAAAAAAACAGAATATTGCAATTTTGTTCTAATAATATTGACTTGATTCTCAAATTATTATAACTTTATTCTCATATTTTTACTTGTTCTTAGTATAGCCTTAATATTCCCTCATACAAAATATACAAGAACTATGAATATTTGTCCAAGTTATTCCCATATTTTTTAATATTTTTGCTCTTTCATTGTCAGTATATTATTATTATTTTTTAATTAATTTAGCTTTCAGTGGCTGGTTGCTCACTGGTTGCCAGGTCAAAACGATGTCAGTGGGGGGCGGGGGGGTAACAACAAATCACTGCCCTCAGGCCCTGCAGCTTGTTTATCCGCCCATGAAATCAAATTAGCTTCAACCAGATGAAACATTTGTCTTGATGGCTTGTTTAATTAGCTCTTCCTACTATTTGAATCTGATAATAGTTGGCAGCCAAATGTTTCACATTAAGTCATAATGAACAAATAATCCTGAGGTTAAAATGTAAATATTTAGCTGAGGTTTTCTTTAAAATGTTTGTTTATGTTTAGAATTTGAAGCATTTTTCTGAAAAATTTGGCTTTTGTTTACAGTGCTAATGAAACATATTGACTCCCTTGGATGTTTCACCCTTTAAAGCTACAGTTTTGACTTTGTTGACAAAAAAAATTACAAAATAAATCCTTAAATGTCAACTAAATAGTGTTTCCTTCCAGTCAGTATTTAGTAGATGCACCTTTGGCTTCAGTAACAGCAGGGAGTCTACATGCTGCTGTTTTTCTCTATTCTTCTTGCCAAACTGTTTCAGCTCTGTCAGGTTGTGTGAACAGGTCTGGACTTTGACTAGGCCACTCCAGAACGTTCACCTTCTTGTCTTCAAACCATTTCTGCATTAGCTGGATGCTCCAGGTCGTTATCTTGCTGGATAATAAATGTTCTCTTGCCGACGGAAACAAATTGTCCTCCAAGACGCTGCTGCTGTAGTTCTGACTAAAACCAGGAAGTTGGAGCACATCACCCAGTACCAAAGTCCCTCCACTGGCTCCTGTAGCTCAGAGAATAGATTTTAAAATACTGTAGTTAGTTTATAAATCACTGAAGATCTGCTGTTGTCATAGCAACCTTCCAGACCTCGACTACAGTCACCTTGAGGCGAGTCCATATTTTTGATCACGTTTGATTTGTAAAAGCAATAAAAAGTGTAAAACATCCAAGAGGGCAAATACTTTTTAAACACACTGTATATTTTTTTATTGTGCAAACTAACTTTGTGATTCCAACATTTATTATTGAGTAGGAGTAGTTTGATCAGGTTTGTTGTCTCCCTAGCAACGAAAGTAAAAGCAAATTCTGCATAACCTTTCTCATTACCGTAAACCTTAAAGAGGGGAAAAAGGGACAAACAAGCCAGAAAAGCAAAAATCCTCGCAGTGAAAAGCTGTTATTTGGCTCTGGACAATGTATTGTGTTATTATTTATAATAAGATCTCCAGCTGGGGGGAGAAAAAAAGAAGCCTTTCAAGGCCTCTAGTTAAAACCTGAATACATCCGGCGCTGTATTATGTGCTGTGGTACAGTTAACACGGTTTGATGATCACACCTGAGATCTGTGCTTGAAGTGCTAATTATCCCTCATTGTGTCCGTAAATACCTCATAATCACTCCGCAATCTCCCGCACCAAATTAACGCGGTAATGCTGCTCCATCAGAGCACTTCGGGCTGACATAAGCCGATGCTGAGCTCTTATGTGGGCCGGGGTTATGTCAGGTCAGCATACGTTGTCAGATTGACGCATAAAACAAACTGACGGCCATTTGCACGTGACGTCACTCTCTTCCAAACTCCGCCCACTCCGCCATGACGGAAAGGTAGTCTAAAAACAGACATCTGTAAGCTAATATCGCTTTTATTTAGCTGATTTCACTTTAAGAATGGTCATAGGGTGCTGCGCGGTTGGCTGCTGAAACATACAAGGTTAGAAACCAAACTTGTAATTTTATTTTATGACTTTTAATGAGGAAAGTTACAGCCGTTAATAATACCGGCAGCCCTGATTTGCTGCGAACACTTTCTACAAGGTAAGAAGATTAATGTTCATATATTTTATAAGTGTGATTAGAAATACGCAATCAAATATCGCATTATGGAGAAAGTAACCATGGAGACAATGCTGCGCACCGTCATGTAGCCTAGCATGTATGGAAAATAACTGGTTAGCATCTCGTCTTTTGTACGTTTTTAATGCTGCTCCAGTGTAAAGCAGAAACGCTGTTTATGACATGGTGATATAAATCGTGTTTTGAATTCAGGCAAAGTGGTAATTTGATCAACACGTCACGAGGAAGAAGGTTCGGGTCGGTTTCTAAGCTAGCTGTTTCCAGCTCTTGTAAATACCGCCGTCTGTGAGCCCCAACCAGGTGTGCTACGTTCACAGACAAATTAGACTGGAACAAATAGAAGCTATGAATAAACTGGCAAAAACAACTTGGGGAAAACAATTTCAGTCGCTCAGTTCAATAAGCACGTCACACACTATTAACAGCTGTATGACGTCCTGACAGCCAGTCAGACCATCAACAGGCGGAGCCGTGTTTTGTTGAGTGCAGCTGCAACTAGACTCTGCTTTAAATACACTTTGGAACAACAACGATGCGTCTAGTTATCATTAAAAACAATTTATTGACCTATGTTTTTTGGTATCTTGTCGCGTATGCTGAACTGACAGCTCCTCTTAATACGCATGCGTACTCACTGCATGTGCACTATGACGGCGTATTCGCGCTGTTTGTGCGGGCGGCCTCCACCTCTGTGTCTGCGGCTCCGTACAGTCGGGTGAGGCTTCCTGTCTGGTCTGATTGATGGCGGTGCCAGCGGAGGCAGCGCTCCCCTGATTGCAGCTACAGACAGCACCGGGCTTCTCATTAACCCGTGATAATGCACCTGTCACCCTGATACGAAAGCCTCACAGCGCATTTGTTGCAGACGGCTGTTCTCGCCGCTCACCATCCACCTCTGCTTTTTCCTTTTCTCTCTCAATTTGTTCTGAACTCAGGTTCTTTATCAGACACGGGATAAGCTCCGACTCTGCTGACTCTGCTGCCGAGCTGACCACAGCAGATGGAGGTCAGCGGTGTATTCCCCCTCCTCTGCTCGCTGCTGCAGCAGTTACACGGTTTAATAGGATCTTTCTCCGGCTAACCTACTGGGACCAGGGCTGATACTGGATCAACTGTTCCAGCCTTCATGGCTGTGTTTGTGTGTGGAATATAAATGTGGTGGCAACTGTGTGTGCTTTCAGACAACATAAGCCTTTTGAGAGTCTCATTTGTTGGCTGGTAAATTCATAATCTCTCCCTGTGGTCAGTGGCTTAGGTTGTAACCGAAAATCAAAAGCTTTCTTCTGACTAAAACACAGAGAAGAAATGCATCAGCCATTAGACCTAAACCAACTTCCTTGTGATCTGAAGACCTCAAAGAAATGTAAAAATGATTTAGTCAAGGGCTGTCGGTCAGCCGGTCGCATTAAGTGTATGCAGAATCACACTGCAAAAACAAAAAATCAAGTATTTTCATGTAGTTTCTTGTTCAAAGATATTAGTACATGTAAATTAAGACAGAATTAAGTTACAAGAAACTTGTCAACTGCATATAGGAGCTTGTTTTATAATTCCCTAATAGTGAAACACCCATTAAACTGTTAAAATATCAATAAACAGCTGTTTCAGCATTCAGTAAGTGTTTCTTCTAATAAAATATTGAACATCTTTTCACACTGATTATTTGTGCTAATATATGATGTTAAATGTGACTTAATTATCGATCATGGACTATGACTTGACATCAAGTAAGTCTGAGGCAGCAGTCACTTAAGCTCAAAGTTTTTGGCCAATTTTGAGAAAAAATGTCAGTAAAATCAGAAAAAATGTGGGAATCTGTTGATTTTGTGTGAAGTTTACAGATATGTGAAAAACTGGAGGGATTTACTGATGTAATTTGGAGTCTAGAGGGCCACATAAAAAGCTACAGCGGGCCAGATTTGGCCCATGAGCCTCGAGTTTGCCAGATGTGCTGGACTTTATGAACTTGCCTAACGGCAGATCATTTCAGTGTTAGAAATTACTGGGGTTGTGTGGGGAAATGTAATTTTCTAGTGTGTGATCGTTTAGCAGCTTGGTAGCGTATAGATGAGCGCTGTCACCTGGTGCAAACTTGCTAACTGGTTTCTCTGGAGGTTCTTGGGACATTGCCACATCTGTGGCTGAGGCGGGAAGAGCTGCGATGCCTCTATAAACATTTACTCAGTAAATCCCACCTTAAACATCAGCTGACTCAATTAGATCTGGGAGTCTGTGTGAGCGAGAAGCCGTCCGCCTCTCATGCAGCAGAAAAGCTCCAGCGTCTTCACCATATGCCTGTTTCTGTTCCATGCTGCTCGTTCCAGTCGCTTTCCCTGCTCTCTGTTGGGTCTGCGCTTGATTTATTTATCCTATCTGAATACACCCCAAGCTTTCACGGGAATTGGAACAAAGTTGCTGAGGAGTGAAAATTGAGAAAAATTAGCAAGTAGATTGTAAATCACTTTGGATCCGATGATGGGAGTCAGAACTGTTGCAGATTGAGTGTCTATAAATTAAGTTAGGGGTTTAAAAAGCTCCAGTAGCTCCTTTTTGTCACCCTTAGAGATGAAATGGAGGAATCGGCTCCGGTTGCTTTTAAAGCTGTGGAATCCAGATTTCCCAGTATTGGCAGAATTTGATTCTGAATAAAGAATGAACATGTGTGGTCCTGGGAATGCGTCTGGCACGTCTGTTTGCCTCCAACCTCCGAATCTCCCGTTTTATCTTCTGCCACGCAAATTCCTCAGAAGATAGTCAAATATCACGTTCACTGTTGAGCCCAAGATTGAGTCCGTCTCATTACGGAAAAGCACAGGGCAAATTAAAACGTGAAAAAGGCCCTGTATGGAGCCAGACCTTCCTGCTTTATGAGCAAAGCGAATGCTGATGGGTTCCTGTGACACATATGTTCACGGACACCTTTAAGGGTGAACCTCTATGACCTTCCAATCCCAAATTATAGTTCTCATACTGGCACAAAATGCTGAAGTGGACAAAAACAATACATGATTCCCATATTTCAACAATGAAAATGGTTGAATTTAAAACACTTTAATCTGATACTTATTTTAAAGCTGATATTCTATGCTTCCTTTAACAGAGTACGATAGGTCTCTGGTCGACACAAAACATGTTCATTGCATTTTTTTGCACAAAATCATTCTTAGATGAGATTTCAGTCGGATCAGTTCAAGTGCAACGTCTCCTCTTTCAGAAACTGTTTCTTTTTTTCAGATAGTGCAAAATATTACGGTTCTGCAAATTTGACTTATAAAACTGTCTTTGCCGACACGTTCGGTCTAGAAACGTAAAGTTTGATAAACGGGTCAGCGTGGTAGTCTAGCTTTTACCATTTCAGATGAATTGGCTAAATCAAACCTAATTTACCATTTCATAGTTGATTTTAAGGTTTTGAAGTGCTTAAATAGGCCGACACTTTAATATCTGGTAAAACTTTTACAGAATCGTGTTCCCAGAAGAAGCTCGAGGTGTTTCTAGATGTTCTTCGTGACATTTTTGTATCACTGCAGCTAATACTTTGAAGGATCTGTGTAGCTCGACTTTTAATTGCAGTTGAGCAGAAATGATCAGGCTATTCCTATCAATAGTCCTTTTTTTCTTCTACTCACTATTTTTTATGTTACCTTTTTTAATTCTTTTCTTTTCTCCAATCCGTTTTATTGTAGAAAATTTTGTCCTATTGGTTATGTTTTCTTTCATGGACTTGTACTGTGCAAATTCACTGAGGTTTTTAAGCATTGTGGTTTTTAATATCCTTTTTTTTTTTTTCAAAATGCTGTCATGTGGAAAAACTTTCCAGCTTGAGCCCTCATTTGTCTCAGCTGCTTGCTGAGTGGAAATGATGGAAAACGAGCCTGTCACGATGTGACAAGGGCACCGTGGATATCTTCAACATGGCAGCCTGCTGCGTTTCACATAAAAGGAAAGCCCAGCGGACATAATGGAAACGCAGAGCAACTCAGACGCCTCTCTCAAAGAGTTTAATTCAAACCCTTTTAGATATAAGAGGAAAAAGCAACGGTAGATTTACGCATCAGAGTAATCAGAATGCAAGGAAGGAGGTGGATGGCCTTCAGACGAACATTCGCAGCTGCTGATTAGAGAAGCCATGTTAATGAGATTCATTGACAGTCTAATACGGAGAACAGCATGCCCCCCTGCTGTGGGTGTCTGTGGCGTCCTCCCCCCCACCACACCCCGCTCTTCTCCCGTATTTTGCTCATTTTCTCCGTTTCCATCTTGCCGCTGCTCTCTTCGCCGTGTTTTTCCTGGACTCAGCCAGCAGGGATTCTGTCTGTTTTCAGGCAAATTCTGCAAAAACACAGCAGAGTGGTTTCACCTTCAACTAGAGATAAATACAAGGACTTTTTTTTTTTAACCAAGTCGCAAATCTTTAATTTCAAAATCCAGTTCTGGTCTTGAGTCCCTAAAGACTGAAATAAATGTTCTATCACTGGATGCTTGTAACTTTTTAGTCAAATCTAATAAGTAAGCATGTTCAAAGGGAACATGGTTTAAAAACAACAAACCACCAGTGATGTAGTGAGAGAATGAACACATGTTAAATTTCTGTCAGAATGTTAAAGAAAGGACTTTCAGTTTGAAGAGCAACGTTGGTTATAACAAGATAAACAGATGCCAGAGTAAAAGTAAAAAGTCTTCAGTAAAGTACTGATACCTGAAAAACCTACTTAAAATGATGCATGATTAGTTGTGACAATAGACTTTATTTGAGAAATATTTCCTTTAGATACAGTAATAATGCTGTAGGCTGCTTAGTTTTAATACATGTTTATAAAATATTGTGACACGAATATTGCCATGTTATTCACGCTGCAATGCATTCTGGGTAAATGACGACTAATGGTCCAACTGCGCTAACTCCCTCTAGCCACAAAGGGATGAGTAACGTCTTTAAGCCTTTTCAAATTGAACTGGAGCACGTTGAAATCAATGGGCATCTGGAAATCATAAGAGGTGATGATGAGGAGAAGGACCAATCAGAGGACAGAGTTGGTCATAAGAGTTGGTGTTTGTTGCTGCTGCCTTTAGCGTCATGAATGAAACAATGAATGACACTTGCCTCTGGTTGGACTGTGTGATCTATGAAGTACTTTCGAAGCTCTGTGTCCAGTCTGGTCTTCATCTGGGGAGGCAGTAGTGCCGCCAGTACTACTGCTGCAGAGCTCCATTAGCATTTAAAGAGCTTCCAGTGCTGTCTGTCTGATGTTTCTCCCAGCGTTTTTCGCCCCGGTGGCAGCGGGGTTTAGGCACTCTGTGGATAAAAACTGTCAGCACGGCATTTATTTTTAGCTTGTTAATGTAACAATCACCTGTTAGAACCCTTGTCAGATTTGCTCACACAAATTACTCCAAGTCTTCTGGAGAGAAATGTTGAGAACACAAATTAGGTCCTTCAGAAGTTGTGTTCAGATCCGGCTCTCTCCCAATGCACTTTTTTTTTTTTTTTTTTTTTTTTATTGGGGGAACCCCCCAGTTTCCCCCTTTTTTTTTTTTTTTTTTTTTTTTTTTTTTTTT